TGTGTGTGTGTGTGTGTGTGTGTGTTTCGGACACTTTGTCTCAGCCCACAGTTTCCTGTTTAATGACTCTTTTGTCACTGCCATGGTTCACTCTTCCTCTTCACACATCTCTGCTTGACTCTCCCTCTATCATTTCAGAGGAAAGATGCAGTCGCTGGATGTCTGTCTGATTCTCCTGCTCAACGCTGGACGAGTCGGTAAGATCAGATCCAATCAAACCTCATCCAACACTCAATCACTCAAGAAATCTTGACTGATACGCCTGTAACGCTTCAACGCAAAAGTGTAAAAGTTGGTTAAGGAAAGGTCAAATGAAACCGCCTCTTCCTGTTCCCCATTAAACAAATGCATTGTAATTTGGAATCAAATTTTAGGAATTTGTTATTTTCATTTTCAGTAATTATATTACTAATTACTGAGAGTGGATTAGAATTTTTTATGAGTCATTTAAAAATGGATCCCTTTTTGGTGTTTATAAAAACTCTATGCTTTTAACGTTCAAACATTTATAATTGTTTTAAATATTTAAACAATAGAATATATTGCTTTAAACATTTAAACATATTTATAATTGTTTTAAATATTTAAACATTATAATGTATTGCATTACATATTTAACATTAAACATGGCAATTGAATTATTATAAATACATATACAATGCATAATTATTTATTTACTTGTATTACGATAATGCTTTGTTACATAGATGGCATTTGTTGAAGCTGTTGTGTGTAATATCTTGTTTCTCAGCTGCGCAGCAAGATGCAAATGTGTGTTACATTCTGGATGCGATTCTGGTTGTTTACGGCATTGTGTTGACTGTCCTTTACTGCAGATTAAAGGTGAAACTTCATTTCTATAACCTCACATCTTTATATACTGTATGATAAAGTTCTTTTTCACCCATTTTTTTAGATTAAATGACATTAATGCTGACTAAAATAGATTTGTTTACTAGCAAGATAAATCTAATCATTAATACATTAATCTATTGACTCGTGCATAAATGTGATTTACAGAAAGTTAAAAAAAAACATTTTCTTTAACATGTTTTAAGAAGAAAATTCACACTTGCCATGTCCTGAATTAAACCTTTAATTGGAAGCACCCATAAAAAACAAACATTATTTCCTTGCATTTTGTAGTTCTTTGGAGCACAAATAACTTAAAGCAATATTTATTATTTTTATAGAATTTTTTTTTTTTTTTTAAACATCTACTAAATGACTGAGGTCCCCATTAACGGCAAAGTTAATTTTTATTATGAAAAAAATTAAATTATAATAATAAATACTGAATATAAAAAGGGAATCTATCTATCTGTCTGTCTTCTTCAAGCATTGACATTCATTTCATATTTTCATGAACACGTTCAATTTAAATGTAGCAATTAAATCAGGATTTAAGTACTTCCTCGGTGCAGTTCTGAATAGTGCACAACCCCTAAAAATACTGCATTCTAGATCACACTCAAATCCTCTTTGAGCTCATTCAGCTGCTTATTTCAAGCTTGTTATAAATCGCAAAAAACTTGGTTTCCAGGATTAAATCAAAACTAGCTCAAGTGTGTAACGGCCTTCACTGCACTTTTAGATTTTGAGTTATGAACGGAATATGTTGTTGATGTTGAACTGCATTTCTCTGATCGTGAAAGTAACGTTGACTGTGTGTTTGTTGCCAGATGCGTTCGTCTGGAGATAAAGCTTTCTCAGAGGTGGGTTCACTTGTCTCTGCTGATTCTATTGTCACATTTCTGTTTCTCGTCATTCAGCTGACCAGAGCTATTAAAAACACATGCACGCACACATTTACTTAGTTATCATAAAGGGACGTTCCATAGAGTATTTTTAGATACAGCTATAAATACTATAACTGAACCCTAAGAGAAAACATTCTGTATTTTCACAGTTTTAAAAATAATAGCAACACTTATAGCTTTTATAGATGATGCATTATAAAAGTAGTTTTAATTCATGAATTATGTCTTGAAATGCATTATATGATCTCATTAATAATTGTAACCACAGTTATAATACATTATAATACTTTTCTATTCATTGTTACAGCTTTAGTGTAATGCATTAAAACACACGACACACTTTTAAATATTATGATGCATTTTATCTTTAGTTACAATTATTTCTGAAAAGCTATAATGCATTACATAAGCCACTAATATAATGTGTTCTACATGAAGGCTTCAAATAAAGTGCTTCCAAAAAAGCTTTTATTTCATTTAATGCCGCTTTTGCAAATGAGGATGTTTTCAAAAGTAGGTTTTGTCAGATTTAGTTCCCGTTACTACACACATGCTAACTGAAATATGTTCTAAAAACCTTTTTCGTAACGTTCCCAGAAAACATTACTGAATGTTCAAAAAGATCACAATTCTTTGTTGCACGAACATTAAAGGAACATTCCATTTGATTCATTTTCACAAACATTATGGAACTTTTGAATCTTTTGAATTTTTTTTTTATAAATGTTCTGAAACAAGTAACATTCAAACAACCGTTCAGCTAAAACATTCCATGAATGCTGCTTAAATAACATTTTGAGAACATTAAAGACCAGGAAACTCTAAATAAACACAGTTTATTAACATTACTAGAGAATGTTTCTTCATAACTTTAAAAGAGAACATAGCTGGGCTCACGTGAACTAAATAAGGATGCATATTGTCTCAACTAGTTTCAACTGATTAACTCGAGCTCCAGTGTCCGGATGGGACGTGCTGTCAGATTTAGCTCACTTTCTGATGACAAATGTATCCTTAAAGTATAGATAATTAAACAGACACACACATAAGAGCACAAATATATTTGAAAACGTTCACGATATTTGTGAGGCCCTCAGAAATAAACGCAACCCACAAACACACATTTTGTGCTTTGTTTAGATTTAGTACCTGTTTTTCATATCAATCTTATCATCTGTCCAAATGCCCTCATAGTTGATTTAAGAGACAGAACGAGGGAATTAAAGCGTAAAAAGAGGAACAGAAAGCAGAATAAGTGTTGGCTAATGCTGAAGGACAAACACCACAGACTTGAGCAAGAGTCTTCTGAGAAGTGTCACTTCTGCCATTCACTGTCCTCTTGTGTTTTTCAGAAGCGAGAAGGGGACATTTATCAGGTACTGTGCTGTTATTGTGCTCTATTGTGACGAGTGAGCGACTGTGCAGTGGTTTCATGTGTCTGTGCTTCTTCAGGATCTGGGACGGCAAGACAAGGACACCTACGACACTCTGCATCCCGAGAAGAAAAAGCCGCTGGCCTGAGAAACTCTCAAACTGTGCAGCTCTTTCAGTCTACATGCCCTAAAAACTGTATTTTCGCTTTGTTTATAAGTAAGCAAACTAGCAGAGCTTTATGAGATTCTGCTTTATTGTGCTTGTTTGCATGTGTCTTTGAGACAAATGTCACAATTAATGTATAATATACACGTGTAAGGCTCTTCATTTTAACATAATAAACTTATATTTTGAACTTGGACAGATTAATCGTGTGTTTCAATGTTAGCATGGTGCGGCTTCCGGTTATTTTTAGCCAAAAACAGCTTGTTTATGCTGCCTGGCAAACTGGTATTCTTATCATGTTATTTTAGTTAATCTGCTGCTGAATGAATAAAAGTAATGTAAATATAAAGTACTCCAAACAAACCCAAATGAGCAACACCATAGTAAAAAATATCATTATAAAAGTATATCACTAAAAGTACCCTAAACTAAATGAAACTACTAAACTGTAACCTAGCTAACAAGGAACGTGTTCAGAACTTAGCCTAAGGTTCTGGTGAACTTCAAACTTTCATAGTTATAAACTAACGGTCTTACAGTAACCTTCATAGAAAGCTCATTCAACATGGTCTTGAGTAACATTCTCAAGCACAAAAACATTTATACGTGGTTCTGAAACGTTTGAGTTGGAGGTTCATCAAAGGTTTTTTAAATGTTACTTTTAGTTTCAGAACGTTCAAATGTAACATTCCCGTAATGTTTGGAAAATGATCAAATTGAATCATTGTTTGTTTGTTTTTTAAATGCTCAGAAATTGGACGTTCAGACATAACTAGCAAAAGGCTTATTTATATACACAGTTAGTGTATTAACTGTACATTAATCGGCAGATAGCGCTATAGAACAACAAAGTTTAAAAGATAGTTTCCTGTGAACTAAACTAAATAATTAACTAGCTCTGGTCAATCTATCAAGCAATACACCACGTGACCAATCAAATTAGAACAACAGAAATAACTACTGCTTAAATACATATAAATTAACATGCATATACATATAATTTAAAAAGTGTTAAGATATCAATAATACAACAAAAATAAATAATAATTTTGTTTTACTATAATGTAAATCTGTATATTTCTCTTCATTTGAGTTTTGTGTGTGTGTGTGTGTGTGTGAGAGAGAGAGAGAGAGAGA